TCTGGCACCCTAAGTCAGTGAGAGTGCAGCACCACTTTTGGCCAGACTTTTACATACAGCTCCTTTAAACTTTCATATTTACTCAATGAAATTATGCAACTTTTCATCTTCCAAGTCTCGTCACTTTTGTTTTTACAATCTCAATTTTCACAGACTCAGGGCTGTGCGCAGTGTTTTGCTGTTTCGATTTGTCAATCACCTCCTGGATTTTGGTACTATAATAATTATAATTATTATTATTATTATTGGTGACACCAAGCAGCACATCTATTGTGTATTATTTTTCCTGTTTAAAAAATAAAAAATACAAAAACTGGCTTCTGTGAGTCATATTCATCATTCATGTTGAAATCGTCGCAGATGTGGACCTGGGCGTTTGGCTGCCTCTGGAGAATGAAAGAGAAAAATCGCTCTCTAACTAAAGCTTAAAGGAATCAATGAAAAAACGACTCTGGCATGTTTATGGAGCCAAGGAGCACTGGAATCATGTTTAAAGCAGAGAAAAGTTAAAAAGCGTAAAATGGGACCTTTAAAGTATACTGCTTATTTTTTATCTATTTACTTCCAAATGTGTTGAAGTAAGCAAGCACTCCAATTTAGAGCATGGTTATTTAATGCTAAAAGTCAAACTTGGTAAGCCAAAAGGTGTGGATATTTAATCACGCTCTCCACATTATCCACTCCAGCCGCGCTGATAATTAGCAGAGGCTATCTTCGCTCTTGTTTATACTGTGGCTAACCCCTGATCGCGCCGTCATTCCGCTGTAATCATTATCAATTCAGGACAAATTCTACAGTCTTCTTCAAAGCCACCAAACTTCATTAATTCTCTTGGCGCAGCGCGTGGGGGTTGTGTGTGCGTGACTGCAATAGTGAAAGGGAAAAAGAGGATGAAACGGCGAAATGCTTAGCCTCAAGGGTTTGTCTATTGGAATACAAGGTGATGGAGCTACAGGTGAGATCTGTGGAGAGGAGAGCTGCTTCATCCAGGGACATATTTTTTCAGCAACAGAAATACAGGAATGATTGGACCAATATCTGCGACTTTTGTCATATACTTTTAAGTCATATACTTGACTCTATCAAGTTTCAGTATCAGTGGGATGCGTGTGTTGTAAACATTGACTGATTATTAATTTCAAATATTTGATTTCTCCATCATGAAATCACTAAAGTTTATCTTATTGTAGACAGCTAGGCTAAGCATCATGGGTCAACGGCACGGATAAGCAGCTCCTCTATCAGCTTTCATTAGTGTCGCTGCTGTTGCTAAATAGTAACTCAAAATATCGGCTTAATTCGGTCGATTAGACCACACCAGCACCTGCGGCTTATATTCAAGTGTGGCCTAAATATTTGTTTCGAAATTAGGTGCCCAAATTTTAAAACAGTAAACACTTTAAAACAGTTTTTACAAAGGTTACAATAATGGCTTAAATTATACTGTATATATATATTATATTTCTGCAGACCGAAGAGAGTATGAACTCCATTGTAATTTGTTCAAAAGTGCTCTATACATTTGGATCAATAAAGCCAAATGTTCCTTGGGGCACAATAATATCACATTCTGCGTATCCCGTAATGAAAGCTCATAACAGAGCGTGGGCAGGTTTGCTCTCAAATCTAAAGCGGCACAAATGAGAAAATATGGATTAGCTAAGTAGGCCGTGAGGAAACAATGACTTTTCTATTTCCTATTATCATTTGCCAGAAAATGGTGAAAACCGAGAGGAGCTGGTTTCGTTGGTCTCCGCCTGCTGCAGAAACAGTGACTGACACCCCTTTGAATGCTTTAACTTTTCATTTCAGATCGCCGTTTCAAATCTTCATGCATGAATACAGAATTAATACTTGTGGGAATGAATTAGCCAGCAGATAATTATGAGCTAAGCCATCTCTGAAAGTCCCTTCTGAAGCAGCGATCTCACAGAGCAGCTGGTGTTTGGAGACCAAGACTGAACGTGTTAAAGAGAATTGGAAATTCAACCGGACTAAAGGTTTTAATCATATTTTAAGCAACGTTTTTGTCAGCCTATGGATTACCCACAACCCAAATCCTGGAAAGGTGAACATTTCATCTTTTGTCCGGTTAAAAGATGCTAGGTCCAGTTTGAGTTCCAAACGCTAATATTATCGTCCATATACCTTTTATTACAGATTCCTAATTCTTTTCCAGTGACACATTCTTGAAAGGAGAATTGTTGAAACTTAAAATTTGGTGTTTCTAGTCAATTCTATCTAATCCCCAGACACCATCAGCAGAGTTTATGTTTACTAAGGGAAAACAAGACAGACTTTGAAGTTTTATGCCAAGATTGTTCCCACTTACAAAGAACTTGTATGGCCATTTTATTTCGCTAAATTGATTAAAGGTATTTAGGATTATTTTACCTGCCTCTCTGTAAAAAAAAAAGTTCACTCTAGTTTTGTTTCAGTCCTCTACTGTCTTTCACCTCTTTTCATTTATTGAAACACTTTTTTTCCCTTTAGCTGCTCTTCCATTTTTGCCCCTCTCACTGTTACTGTCACATGATTGGATTGGTGTCTTTCGAGTTTCATTCAGGTCTCAATAATCACCATCCACAATATTTCAGACTTTGATCTTTCCATTTTTGGCCCTGCTCTATGTATAGATGTCTAACGTTCCATCCAAAGCCTAAAATGTGTCTTTAATGGTGTGGCCATTGGTGTGAGAGCCCCGGCCCTGTGAATAATAGCCTCTCTCAGTGAATGCTCAGTCGATAAAGTCTTCCCTCCGGAGAGAGAGGAGGAGCTAACATGGCCGCCGCTCAGACCTGACTCAGGAGCGCTGGGACAGGATTAATTTTACAGCCTTCACCAGGAAATTGGATGGGCGTGGAGCGAGAGAAATGTAGAAAGTTCACTTTTGGTCGCGCCGGGCCGCAGAGTAATTACACGGAATACAATGGGAATAAATCACCGACATCTGACACTTAGGGCAACACCGAGACCGACTACTAAATCACAGCAGCAATTGCTTAGATTTTTGATTGATTTGGAATGAAACATATGAATCGTCTGTTACCGGTCTACTGCCGATGCCAGAACCTTAATGTGGAAGAGACTTATTCAAAGTCTAATAATGTTCTATTAAGGACTTATACATTTTCTGTTAGTAATCTATTGTTTGCTTGTTAATGAACACACCTCTCCGGATTGTAGTCTTGGGCTAATTTGGGCCAAACTCAGTCACTATTTTTACATGTTTTCAGTGGTAGGAAAAGCAAAGCACCAGAAAGAAACCTCATTGGACTCATCTCTGACAATGATGACTCTGCTTACAGGAGGGAAATGGACCGGCTGGTGTCCTGGTGCAGCCGATACCAGCCTTTTTTGTACTCGTGCCTTGTGCCAAAGCTCATTACTAGCTTGTGACTTTCTGGCAGTAAAAGATATTCTCATTACTAACTACTATAATTGCCACAACTTTTTAAAAAGTTCAAGTATATTCTATTTACAGTCTCGACATGATAGCTGTTCGCTGCCATGTCGAGACTGTCAAGAATGCTAATATGGGATAATGTTTGCGTCCTCAAAGTTGACATTATTTACTAAGATTTGTTCATGTGAAGAAGAAGTGTTACATGAGAAAATTCAGTTTATATTTGATTAATTAATGTCCTTTTCAAATGTAATAGTCGACGTAATAGTCCAGCAAGTACCGTATTTCAGAAGAACTTACAACCTTATGGCTCCAAAGTCTTTTTGAGTTGAGAATCACTGATCAATGTCCAAAAAAAACAAATTCAAATAATTGCTGTGAGATCGAAATGGGGATAAAAGTAATTTATCGAAAACCAGTTTTTAGTGTCTTGACAACTTTAACATCTGAAGGCTCATGAACAGAAATTAGAAATAAATACAAAAAATACGTATTCGTCCAGTCCATTATAAAAGTCCTTGATATGTGTTTGAACAGCCCATGCAAAAGCAGATAATAAACGTGTCGCTAAAACTATTAGCGTTTTCTGTATCAAAGATGTGTGGCTTTCTAGTACATCCTCAAGGATAAGCAAATGAATAGTGATTAGAAAAACATTTGAAGGACTTACAATTTGCTCTTTATCAAGTAGTTTCATGAAAAGTCAGGTCTTTTTTAGATCTGTTTAGAACAATTGATTTCTACCTTCTTCTTTTTTTGTTAGCAGTTAGCAATAGTGCTTACAGCTATTCAAGGTTAAATAGTTGACCAATCTCTCAGTCTTCCATCCAGCCCCGCCCCCTCAGCCCCTGGCGCAGGCCCCTATCAGGCTGTTGTGAGTCCAGGAAACTTGCACCAAATAAATTCCTCAATGCTTTCCGCTATTCCAATTGTTTTTTGTGTTTTTCCAATCTGTTGTTAGGTATGAAGTTGTTATTTGCTCTCTACCATCTTTTTTTGTCAAAATGTTTCAATTTCAATGACATGTAACTGTACTTGTATTACTGCATTCTTAGATAAATCCATTTCAAGATCTTTGAAGGCCAGGAGAAAATGGATGTGTTTGTTTGTTTGACTGTGTGATTGAAAAGATGCCATTGAAACTCCTGCTCCCGACAGAAACAGTGACGGTTTATGATTTGAATTGAATTGTGGGGCGGAAGAGTGGAATCAGCCCCCACTGCTGATTGCTGCCGTTGTGTCCTTGGGCAATGCACTTCACCCCTCTCCCCCGGTGTCTGTGTAAACTGGTGTACTGTATGAATGTGTGTGTGAATGGTGCCTGGATGTGAATTTGAGTGCCGTGAAAGGGGGGAAAGTCCATCCATCCATCCATTTTCTTCCCCTTTTGTCCATTTTTGTGTTGGGAATTCAAATGTGTGTCTATTTACCCTGACCATCTCTCATAAAGAAAGCCAAGCATGTAGCCTGGATTTAATGGCAGATATAAAAACCTTTGTACTGTATTGTGCAGCGGTTTTTTAAAAAGTGTCTGCATTCTGTGAAAATAATAAAAACAGCTTACCTTTCATTGCCTTAATCTCGCTCTGTCCGCTCAACCTTGAAAGCACATTAATGTTATACAACACTAGTAGGAATGTAAGAAGCAAATGTTGGCCAGGTTACAATCCTCCAGCAGCAGCCTAGAAACCAGGACACTGCAAATCAAAAACTTATTTTTTCACACACACTTGGATTCTTGGTGTCTGCTTGTCCCAGTTTCTGAAAACCAAAGTGTTTGCTTTTCCTGCAGACAAAACCTGAAAACTTTCGAGCATCCACGTCTGCAGTATACAAGCTGAGGAAACATGACTTGAATTGAGAATAACACCACACCTTTTTGGAGCAATAGATGAGTTAATTTTACTGGTTCTAAATTTAAACCATTTGGCATACTGTGCAAATGTCACGTCCAAAATGATTGCAGCGTTTGCATGGGTTTCAATGGCGGCTATAGAGAAAATAGACTGAAGCTGGCTTCATCACTAGTGGGAGATTTGTGCAAGAGAACAATATTTCCATGTTGCTAATCGATTAGTTTGCTGTTTATTCTTTAGACTAATTATTTAGTATTCATTCTTTAAAACATTTGACTAAAAGCGATGCCTCCTGGAGGACGTCTTCATAGAGGCGACTTGTAACATATGGGGTTGTCTGATCGATATTGAAACACATTATCATTTCATTCTGTGGTCAATATTGAACTAGGATGTCAAACGGGTTCCGGGAAAGCCTAGTGTGGCTGCAGGATTTCATTCCAACCAAGCAGGAGCACATCAGACTCCACCCACTCCCTCCGGTCTTCAGGTTTAGACTGGACTCACCTGAGGAAACGGGTGGAGTCTGCTGTGCTCCTACTTGGTTGGAACATGGTCCAATCAAATTATCTGGATAGGGTATTACTAGCGTAGAACTAGGAGGACCAGAGGAGGGCCCAATATGGGTGAGTTCTGCTAATCTTTTGGTGTCCATGGGGGCACATGCGCTACTGAGCACAAGCCATTTATTTGAATAGGGTGCCAATTTTGATTAAACTATATCGTATAATTAGAATACAGTAATATATGTTCTTATATTATTTAACTGGGAAGGTTCCCCTGAAATTGAAACATATCTTTTACAGGGGAGTATTGGTCCCAGTTCAGTGAAAAACCAAAACTTTTTTCTCTGAACGAACCCACTCAACATATCTCCAAATCGCTGCCATTCTCAACCCAGGTCATTTCCTCGTTCACCATAAGTCGAGGGTCTCCCTATACTCACACTGCACGATGAGCTCCACCTCGGCCTCCCGCGGCTTGACGTTGAAGCCGTTGAACTGGCTGGTCTGGCAGCGGTACGAGCCCGTCATGTCGCGCGTCACGTTCACAATGCGCAGCGAGCCGTCGTACGTCTCCATCTGCATGCTCCCGTCCGGCATCGGCGCCTCCTTGTCCGAGCGCGACCAGAGGATGATGGGCTTGGGCTTCCCTGAAACTAGGCACTCCAGCTCCACCGTGTCCCCCTCACGAGCCACCAGGGGAGACTTGCCCCGGGGGACGGTCAGGTTTGGGGGAACTAAGAAAGAGAAGAACAGAGGAGGGACTGATACGGGGCTCTAGAAAGTGAGCGCGAGCGGCCGGAGCGATGGTCGACAAGGGGAAGGGGAGGACAAGCAGAGGGAAAAGCAATTCAGGTCTCATATTTGGCTAGTTGAAAGGAAACGTTTGATGCAAAATCCAATTTGGAGCTGTTCACCACTGTACATGAGTGTATGGTCAATACTAGCCTCTATGTTTAATCGTGTGTTTTATTAAATTGCATTGTCCCCTTTGAAATGAACTAAACTGAAACTGAAACCTTAACGGTGAAGACTGTTTTGTTTCCAATTGTAAACATTGGGTATTTATTCTCAAATAGTCCAATGTGGTTCAAAACTGTAAATTTTTTATCCCTTTGGCTCAATTCACTTACATTGAAACATTAAAACCTTTAGCGTTTGCGTCTCACTCTTGATTAAAAAATGTGCTTTACGAATTCAGATAACACATTCTTTTCAGATCTATCTATGTATCCTCTAGAATAATCAAAATGTGTTTTTTGTTGTTGAATGTATACACAAGTTTGGAATAAATGCACTGCATACCAATACAATCCTACAAATAAAGCCAAATATGTGACCTTGCAGCAGTGATGTCACAGAACCAGCCTTGTAGCCACTATGTATGGAGCACCATGCACGTTTTAGCAGTGCTAGCTTTTGCAGTCAGCGTGGAGGACAAAGCAAATGTAATTAAGCCATGGCAGCAATGAACAATGAGGCCAGGAGCGGACAAGCAATGCACTCAACGAACTGTTTGAAATGAGAAAGCACATTCACTGCGCAGTTATCGAAAACAGACAGCATTACTGAGACCACACGCGAAGAAGAACCAGAAAAATGCTTGCAATCTCAAGCTTTATCCATATGTTGTATTCAGTTACTGCTTTGACATAGACCAATACGTCTTCATTATCTACAGTACTGCACATTGAACATTCAATCATCAAGTACAACAACTATTAGTTTGTCAAGAGACTTGTTGGAAGATAAGTTGGAAACTCCCAAGCAACATAGACAAGACAGGACATGGACCAGTGTCAAACCCTCCATCAAAAAAGGTTACTCTGCTACCAATATCAATACCCATTATTGAATCATTTATAATTCTAATCACAGCTGGGTCGTTGAGGCTGAAGTCTGAGCCGAGAGTTGAACCCATAGAGAGACTTAACATTCCATTTTCTGTTTCATGGCGTGATGAGGCGACCCAGAACTCTGCCTCTTTGACTTGCACCAGTGAACCATTTGTCCGCAAGCCTGGACTGGGAGCCTCTTCAGTCCTGCAACACACGGCCTCAGTCCTCCATCTACAGCCTCTCAACCTTGGGAGCGGATCCCTCTCTCAATGTAGGTTGAGAGAGGGATAATATGAGAAACCTCCCAGAGGTTTTTCATATTATGTCCCCATTGCTTCCCTTGAGTTGTTCCTTCCGATGCAGCGGTTTCTAAGGACAGTGATAACCCGTACATTATAGGACATTTAAGCACAATTATGGACATCGGTCATCCTGCCTCCTAGACCAATGGCTTCTATGTGTTTGATATTATTGCATTTTCTGTGTTTGATCTTTAGACAAGATCAAAGATCAAGATTGTTCGTCATCATATTTTGCTACTTTTTCTCCAATAGTAACAAACATAACCAAACCCATTAACTCACACCAGTCTAGGGCAGATCGGTGTAGATGTGAATAATAAAAAATTAAAATCCAACAATGTCAATAAATGTCATATTCATTGTCACAGAAAAAGGTAATTTATGCTAAACTATAGCTATAGCTGTAGTTATGTTGAGGCTGTGCCACACTGCAAGATTTTAAGTCATACTCAGCAGCAGCGCTACACTTTCAATGCTCACCTGGCACAGATCGAGCTTCATATCGCAAGGAAGCTTCATTCATGCAGCAACCCTCCTCCTCTCCATGTCCGCCTTGTCAGTTCAACTCTTCTCCCTTCTCCTAGCCACCACCACCAGGGTCTAGCCCCCGGGAATCAACTCTTCTACCGCAGCCTCCATGTTTTGAGCCAGGAAGAGATATACAAATCTCTATCTTCAACGTCCCTTCTACAATCATCCTGCCGTGCTGTTCCGCGGCCTCCAAATCTTAACCACATTTCTTGTACAGAAATAATAAATGTTTGATTGAATTTTTATTTTATATGTATTTTGTTTATAATCTTGCCTTCATCAAATCCTTTTTCAAGATTATGCTTATTCTGTTTCTTTGTTTGTATTTTATTTTTATTTTTTTGTAAAATTGTGCATTTGGATTGATTTTTAAGGGTACTAAGTCTTGAATACTTACCATGCACTGGCAGCTTATAGACCAACAACAACCACGCACAATAGACCTCTTTAAGAGTTCGTTTTGGCCTGGAATCGTCAACATTATGCCTCGGACTTCACAACCGCCATCATGTTTTTGATTCGGCCGTTACGATGATCCAGAGCGGACAGTTCCCAGCAGCCATCATCAGGTTTTATGCGCATATAGTGTTTTAAGCCCTCCCCCTCGCCCACGCGCTGTATAATTCACGGGACATTTACAACTGGTGGCCCTCCCGTTGGTGATATAGCGTTATTGCGGCCATGTAGCGAAATATGAGCCAATAAATACTTAGGCATTGTTTAACAGAGCTTTTAGAGCCGGGAGGAACACTGGCGATGAATATTAAAAGAAGTCTAGGAGAGATTTTTGTCTTTCTTATCATTCTATTCCCCCAACACTTAAAATCTGATTTTTGAAAGCCTGCTGCAACAAATGACTAATGACTTAAGTAACCAGATGTGATTTTATTATGTTGTTACAAAATGGTAATACATTGATTTGTCACATGGAGACAAACAGATAATACTTCAAACGGTCTGATTTGTCAGGAGGGGCTTTCTTGAGCAATGGAAAAATCATAAAACAATTGCACTTTGTAGAAAAATAACTATGAATGAATACATGTAATTGAAGGTAGATTCATCTCAATTTAACTCATTGACTGCCCTTGACGTATTTGTTTGAGACTGGTGGTTTTTGTCAAACTTCCTTCTATTCGATGAGAGATTATAGCTAACTAAACTAGCTAGAAACAAAGTTATTTCTGCAGAAGAAAGTAGATAGGCCAGTCTTTTAGAATCTGCATTTCACATAATAAGTCATAGCACACAATTTTCTGTGGGTCTTGAAAATCAAGTTAAAGACCTTATGCCGGGTTTAAAAAAAAATAATTGTGGATATCAAAATTGCATGACAATGTTGATCTGAAATAGATTCCGCCAAAAAAAAATCCAATATTTCATAAAAAGAATGTGTTTTTCATGAATGTCTATGCTCTAACCTGTGTGTGACATCATAGCGGGTAACGCCCATGCATTGACAACCATGGATCTATGCCACAGGACTGCCTTTTCTCTCTTCTCTCCACTGATGCCCAACACAATACTGCACTCTACAGGTGACAATTGCTCACTACACATAAATTGCCGATTTGAGAGTGAAAATGTGTCTCAGGTGGGATTTGAACCCCAGCAACTGGATTAATAGTCCTTCAACACAACCACTGGACTATCTCAGTGACATCAAAGTGCCATAGTCTAGTAGTAACGTCATACTCGCTGTACACTTGAATCTTGTATCTTGAATCTTGTATCTTGAATATCCGCAAAAAAAGAACGAATACCAAATTGTAAACAACTTACAGCGTTGAAACGTACCCACTCTGACGTCACCAAGGGCTGTGAAGTTTTTTCGTCTCTAAGGGCGTTGCTATGGGGTTATTTCGATTTGGGGGGATCAGACAAAAAAAATCAACAACTTATTTTGAAACCTTTAGTAGTTCTCTTCTAATATAAAATGGTATTAAAACTGTATATCTAAATAAATCAAACCCGGCACAAGGTCTTTAAGGCAGCCAATGAGTTAATGTCACAACCCGGCAATGGTTAAAGCAGATGATAATGGGTGAAAGGTATTTAAGGGAGATGTTTGTGACGATCAAAATGGAATGAACAAGCCACTAATTGGAGCATCTCACTATCTCACTGTCAATCGTTGCACTTGTGGCTTCCCTTGTGCTGTGCCAGAGCATGGCTGCCATCCATGCTCAGTGGATTGTTGAGCTAAAGGCGATGTACATGGTTTTCCAAAAAAAATCCCAAAACAATGTATTTTTTGTCAATATTGTATTAAATCAAATATGGAGTTTGATTAAAAACAGCTTTTCACACTTAAAGATTTGAAGGTTATACATGTATGAATAGTTGTTTTCTAAAAGTAACTCAAGAGTAAGTCGGTAAACTGTACAGATGATGTTAGCATGTAGCCTATACCTGTGTGAGTTTTCTGCGGCTGGACACCTGAGTTTTACCTACAGGGGATCAAAGTATCTATCTATCTATCTACTGCTTCCACTAGGGCTGCACGATATATCAAAAAAATATAACGAATTTGGAGCGTGCAACATCCAGATAAAAAATATCCGCAATATTTTTATTTTTCCTTTATTAAAGAGAACAACACAGACAGACACATCAACCAACAAGAACAAACACACAAAAAAGTATATAAATCTATGCATTTGAATATCATTAATGTTATGCTTACTTTTTGTTTTTGTCTCTTGCGTTTCAATGCAGATCGCAATTTCAGGTGAAAGACAAAAATATCGTTATCACAATAATAAACACTTATATCAAATATCGCACTAATTTCCAATATCGTACAGCCCTAGCTTCCACTGTGCACAAATACAGTATAATAGCTGAACCCTGAATATAAGAAACGATAAGTTGATATGAGCCTCGTTCCATTCGTCCATCACTCCACAACTAAAATTTACATTTAAAGCTGGACAGCCAAACATTTAAATTTGTTTCATAAATACTGTACATTCAAAGTTTTATTTCAGCAAAATGTTGCGAACAAATCAGACCAGGACATGCTGCCTTCATCTTATGAGAAAACATAGTATTTTTTATATACATTAGCTTAGTGAGATGATTTTTATTCTTCTTTTGTTACACACTTTAAGTTGCCTTGTGTATGGATACATGAATGACACCTTTATAATAATATTGCATCAGTTTTATATAGCGCTTTTTTGAACACTCAAAGACGCTTTACATGTCGTTATTCTTTCACTCCATTAACGGTGGTGATAAACTACTGCTGTAGCCAAAGCTGCCCTGGGGCAAACGGACAGAAGCGAGGCAGCCAGTATGTGCCATCGGCCCCTCCGACCACCACCAACCATTCACACACACACCAGACTCATTCTCGACAATGGGGATGAAGTGTCTTGCCTAAGGACACAATGGCATTTTGTCACTTTACAGCCGCAGCCGCCCCACTGTGGCTGGTGTTCCCAGAGGTGAAGTGTCTTGCCAAGGACACAACAGCAGACAGTGGGAGTTGATGGTAAAAGTCGGGCCCGAACCCACGACCCTCTGGCTCAAAGGCCAATGCTCTACCAACTGAGCTACAGTCCCCCTTTGTGAACTCAGAATGAATTATATGAATTATAAAAATAAACTTGCCTTGCTTTGTGGTAGTTCTCTCGTTTAAAGTCTGAAAAAGCTGATGGATCGATGTGACCATGACCAAATATACATGCATGTAAAAAAACAAACTATGTTGAGAGCGAGGAAATATACTCACATAAATTTCATTACATTGCTTTTTGTTGTGGTTATAAAGTTTGGTACTCTAGCATGAACTGAACTTTGCAGTCTTTTTCATATTTCAGAGCGGCATAGATGTTGGAACCGGCCGCTCTTCATTTCTTAATTAACAGATTTGGCAAAAGGAGCTGGGCTTTCTGGAGAGCCGCGTGTTTTCCAAAAGCGCTCTTGATGCAGCCGGTCCAAGACTGTGGCTGATGAAACCACGTCACGGCTGTCACTTTGCCCAGACAAGACGGTTCACCTCCTCATGACGAAATCCCCGGCAATGAGTGCAGAGAAAAGAGCGTGAGGACGGCTGTGTGCACCTGACCTGCTCCAGAGAACATCCTGCATCTGGAAGGTCTTTTGAGGAGGCAAACATGCTCACTGAGATAATCCTTTATTTATTCAAACTTAACTTAACCGGTTGTGGTTGTGTTCAAGATTTAGAATTGCATTTCAAACTTATAGGCATCCATGCAAGTGACAAGTGTATGTCTGTAAATAAAATACTTTTTTCATGTTTTGCACTTTTTGAATTGAGCACGCCAGTCCAGGCTTATTTGAAATCCTCTCAGGTGTCCATACAACTCTAGATGATAAGTATTTTGATCCGGGAAAACATTTGGACGTTTTCCTTTTCATTATTAGACAGTAAACATCATGCATATGTTTTATTTAACATTGTATCCACTTTTCGACATCCTTTATGATAAAACTAGACCAAATAACATTCTGTTGATATGTACTGGCAAAGAAGATGTGGAAAGTTGACCACATCTTCCCCTTTATTTCTAAGTTTGGCATTAGAAACATAATTTTTCAGGTTGAAGTGTTTGGATAAAGGTCTGATGATACATTTATGGGATTGGCCACAACTTCAACACGTTTTCAAATTGTATTTATTGGCTTGCTTACCAGTGTATTTGTGCTCCTTGTCCTGTTGCAAAACTGATTTCCAGAACATTTCTCTAAATACCTCTTCAAGTATTTAGATGTAGTCAAAGTGACATATGAACCTTGGTATGTGATAAATAGAAGGATTCCCGTATTAAAATGCTTGCCTTTGTTTACAGGTAAACCAGCAATCCGTTTTAGAATCTGATACGCCATATTTAGGAGAATAAATGCATAATTTGACCTAATGGTGCGAAAAACATGGCATGCATTAAATATTTAAGTTTGTAAATAAATAATCGTGAAACGTGTGTGTACTTTGTCTTCATGCTTTGTTTAAGAATATGATGTGCAGATTATTTGTGATACATTTACATCTTTATACAACATGATATTAACTGTATGTAGTTGATGATAAAATAGTGAAAATAATTTCAAGTACCCCCTGTGATAGCCTTGCAGATGCGTACCCCCGTTTGGACTCTTTATAAAAGAAGAAAATACCACCAGCAGAAGGCATGAAACTAACAGCTCTGGATTATTCTCTGCTCCATGCCACTGTCAAACAAAAACATTTCAAGCATTTTACACGTTTCCTATTTCCTGGAAAGAGTATGAGTTTGAAACCAAGGCCTGTTGTTGAAACCGATCTCCCTGCGCTTAATGACCATCTGTGCAACTGGAAAACACTTCGATTTGAACCAGCCAGGCCAGCATGGCTCCAGTCAACATGATTTGCCTTATTTTACCAACACAACAACACAACTACAGCATCTGCCAGAGATTGGCTGAGGCTGGAGCGATCGGGTTGCATTAGCACGCGGAAATTAAACAGGCATCTTCCAACAAAAGCGGAGCGATGCCGTTTTTTGGAAGCAGAAATTGTATTTGCTGTGAGACAATGATAAGCTTGGCCAATTTCATTATTTAACTAATTAAATAACCAATTGATTTGGCCCTGACTGTATTTGCCTTGTTTTTTTTCTTTAATTTTGTGCGTGTACTTTGGGCAGCTGGTGTTGCTGTAAATGTGCTATACAAAACAAAATGACACCGACAATGTATGTTTTGTAATGAGTTAGTTTCGTCATTTAAAAACAAAATGTAATTTGAAAGGGTGGACTGAAACTGGCAACAGACTAAAGCAGTTTATGTCTTGTGAGATTTTAAGTGGTGACACAGACCGTTTGAAAATGTGTTCGCTGCAGTTGATTGGCAGCAAGTCTGTGGTTTTGCCAGTGAAGTTTGTTTGGCAAAAATCCTGTAGTCTGTATCAAGACTAACCAGGTGCTGACGTCACCTGTTGTGTCTGCTTAATGCGGAAGGAGACGAGTTGGAGCCAATTTCCCATTATGGCCATTAGTGGCGACGGGGTGACCTAAGGATCGGCACTTGATCATATACGGAATCGGGACAAAACCGGAAGTAACTATCCTACTTTCAAATCAGTTTTAGACTAATCCTTAAGTCCTTAAGTGGTGACTGGTTAATTTTTAGGTGTCTGAGTAAGATGGTTAAGGTTAGGGGTAAGGCTGGGTTGGGTTTTTTTTTTTGGGAATGGCTGGTTAAGTTTAGGCATGAATAGGTAGTTTGTTATATCTACTTCCGCTTCCGTCCCGATTCCATATATGATCTAGTGCTGGCCGTGACCTAAGACCGACCTGAGTGACAGTGTTGCTAACATGGTTGTTAAGGCAAGCTGAAGTTTTCCCCACAGATGAAAGCAGTTTACTTTTTAATATCAGTCAATAAGAGCCAGAGCAAACGTTGTCAATGGACTCTTCCCTAAAGGGCTTTACAGATCTTGCAGGTTAGACTTGTCTATCAATAGTCTATGATCAGAATGAAAACATACGTACACTGCAAGCTATTTTTACAAGTGGCAATATTGTGCTTTTAAAACAAACATATAACTGAATCCATCTAATTTCCACAGAATTTCCATCTAATTGAATCCATGCACTTGCAAAGATTGTCAGTTGAATGAAAGAATGCTCCAAACTAATTTGGCAAAAATACATTGGGTTTAAAAGCCAGAAAGCTCAGAGGCAACATCATTGCCTTTGAGAGAATAGGTTTCGTTCACGGGACATCAGCACATTGTGGACTGGTAGACTGTATGTGGTGGTGGTGGTGTGGTGGACCCCTCATGTATTAGCTTGTGCTTCTGGGAGGTCCATTTTCACAATGTAGCACATGAACTTTTAGGGACTGTGTGAAATTGTGAATAAACTAAACTAAAATAAACATTCTAAGGAGGCTTTATAGTTAAAAATGTCGAATGTCAAAACTGATTTCTTTATAGTGTCTGGGCCAATCACGAAACTTGTCACAAATCAACTATGGTTCAATTATTTTCTCAAAGACATCCAGAAGTGGCAATAATGAGAATAATCACTATTCAATAATGATCTCGGAAAACATTCTCTTTTTCAACATATCTTTCAAAAATGTCTTTATTCTAACAGAGTTTTATTGGCACCTATTGGACATAAGTTGCGGGTTAACCTTTATACCAGAAGTTCTTCAACTATTAAATGTTCTTTCACCATAATTCAACTATTTTCAACCAGCAGAATAACATAAGTTTCACACAACCGTGCAAGATAGTACAATGAATAAATGTCACTTGAAGATATTTTAGCAGGATAATGGACCACGGCAGTTTCATTATTTGGACAATTTCGGAAAAACACCATTTATTACAGAAATACTGAGACGGCATCAGCACAATCTCCTTTCTGAAAACAGCCCAATGAACCAAATTGATATCACTCGCTCTCTCTCTCTGAAACATCATCATATTTCCAACGCGGCTGTGGCTTCAATTAGCGCCTGCGTGTACAGTTGGAGGTGCGTTCGCGGGCTGCCTCATCCATCACCCCTCCGTCGGCCCGCAGATTAGGGGGGGCCAATTACCGCGCTCTGCCTGTTGGCTCTGACAGCGGCTGGCACAAACCGGGCCGTCATCAGCTGCTATTGTCTGAGCCTAGAGACGTCAACAAGCCAAGGCGCATCTGCATTTCCCTAACAATGCGCTCTGCCGATCACTGGCACGCGGCCTCCCCTAACGCGCCTGCTAAAAGACGCCGGGAGAAATATCACGGTGGTTTGCGTACGTGAACTGTACTGCCAGGCTTATGGAAGGTGTTGTATATTTTAATATTTGACCATTTGAACATCATAGCCAGAAAGACCTCTGTGCACTCAGGAAAAACCCCAAGGACAAGATAGTACGAGAATCATAAAGGAGGACCAGCTTACAAAAGCCAGACAATTATTGACTCCCAGAATAAACACATGTGTGGCAAATTTGACCTATGGATCCCCCGCAGCCCCCTCCCGCAGCAGCTGCGTTTACACAGGCGCCGCACGGGTGGGGGCATTGTTTGCTTAAGCAGAGACCAGACCAGTCTCAGACCAGAGACCAGTTTCAGACCTGTGACGTCATCGGACCCTGGGCACAGGACCTCCCTGATACGACACGCCCCCTGCTCCCTGAACATAATGCTCTGGCTTGGGAAGAGACGGGAGAATCAGCCGAGGGCCAGGAGAGGGACATATTAGTTTAGGAGCACTTTTTTTGTTGAATATTCTGTATCTGATTGTAAAGATAATTAAATGCAGATGTTAAACGTGAAGATCTCTTGTCTCGCTCATGCATCGACTTTGGATACGTCAGTCAAAGGGAATTATTGACTACATTTGGTGAATCCCGACGTGATCGGGGCAGGAGCGGGACAGAGATGAGCTCAGTTATAGAGACTGGATTTGTGGGTTTGGAAAAATCTCTCTGCTCTTCAAAAAGGTCGCTTCTAAGGTAAGCGGATCACAGTTTTGGAAATCTGCACATTGTTTTAAATAGAAGAGAGAGAGATTTTGGCTCGACAGATTGCAGCGTGGCCAGACGACCGCCGTGACGGGGCGTTCTATCGGACGCGATAGAACAATAGTCAGGTTTAGACGTTTTTAACCTTGGGGGAAGCATGGGTCCCTCCAAAAAAAACAGAACATAGATGTTGAAAAGAGAGCCACAGGAGTTAGAAGTGCAAAAGAGGCACACCTTCGTGCAGAGAGGCACAAGCATATTAGTGAAAAATAGGAATAGAATTAGAGAAATAGGGATAGTTAGGGTCAGAAGTGATAGGATAATAAAAACTCCATATCCCCCGGGGGGCGGGAAAAAAGGGTACATTTAAACAGAAAAAAGCCAAGTATTTAAAATGTGGATTCTGATAATAATGATCTGATTAATGAGGAAAAAAGAGAGCCACTTGGCTGTAGTATACGAGTTTCATGTGAAGAAATGACAAAAGATCAGTCTGGGAGTTTTTCTCTTGTATTCTGATGTAATGTTTCGATAGTTACAGAGAATCAGGAAAAAAAAAAGATTCTGCTGGAACTCTCGATACATTAATCATGTAGCAAATGGTAATGTTTTCCATTACTG